ACCTTGAAAATCTATGTGGCAGCTGTTGCGGCCTACCACACCCCTATCGGTGGTCAGTCAGTGGGCAGACACCCCCTAGTTACACATTTCCTCCACGGTGCGCTGAGGCTGTGGCCTCTGGCCAGAGAAGCTTATGCTAAGCGGTGGATCAGGATGCTATTCCATAGCCTCGAGTCCTCTGATCTCCCCTCTCCTTTGGGGGTCAAGGCTCACTCCTTCTGAAGTTGGACTTTGGTCGGGATGTCCCCGCCTACTTTGTCAGGTGACTACCTGCATTCTGCGCCACTCCTGGCTCCTTTCTCTCGCCTTAGCTGTGCTCTTCCACACTAGGCAGGGATTTGTAAGTCTGCTGTAAGACGCTGCGTCTCAGTGCCATACTTCCGACATCCCTGTGAGCGCTTGCTTTATTCCTAGAAGCTGACGCCGGTTCCACCGCACGTGCTTTTATAGCTTCCTGGTCTCAACGTCACCCGCCTGGGACGTCTCGCCCTTCCATTGGACTGACTTTACATGTGATTCAGAGCGTGGTCACGCTGAAGGCATTCCCAAAGCATTTTCCGACGCAGCGTCTCATTCCCTTGGGGAACCATGGTTACTTTCGTACCTGGAGACGTTTTTTCAATAAACTCAAACTTGAATTTCGATCGGTTGCTCACATAAAGATTTACAACAGACTGCAACATAACTCATGAACTTCCCCCTACAATCTGACTGGTTGATAGAATACTGCTCCAAACTTGGTAAACCACATTAATACTGTTTCTTCTACTGTTCTGTGTTTATGTAACACCAGTCACTGTGAAAAGAGAGGGTTAAATCAAGGTCACTCATATTTGTAGGAGAGGAAACATGATTAAATACAAAGCCAATTCAAGCTCTGTCGATCACTGAACATAACAATGAAGAACTATTATGCTGGTCTGTATGCTTTTGCAATACAGAGCACCACACTGTCTCTGATGCGTTTCAATCCATGCTCACATTAGACGCATTAGAGATAATGCATCTGTTACATCAATAGAAACATCTGAATTCCAGCACACATGGGATGACCAATTAAATAGAGCCCACGCACATACCCAGACGCAAGCCGGTGACTCTTATGGGCATTAAAAGAAGATGAATGCTAAAGGGGGTAATACAGTGACTCAGATGGCAGTAATAGGTTAAGTTGGCTCTGCAGAGGAAGCAGATTTGGCATTTAGGTTAGCTAATTGTCACCCTCCCCATTCCATCTACATATCTTCCCTCTGAAGCTTTTCTAATATATATTTTTATTATTACTATTTTTCTTTATTATAAAGGCTTGGTTTTCCTTAAGCATCTTCAGTGTTTCTCTCTCTACATCTGTCACTATGGTTGTACATTTCAAGGCATGGATTGCGGAAGCGGGGGGGCCGCCCTGGCCTGGGCCCGGGTAGCAAATTATGACATACAAAAATACATAGACTATAGGCTCATATGGTTTAATCATTAAAAGATCGCGATCTTGATTCAAACACATGCAATCGTATTGCTATTACAATGATTCCACTACGTATATCAAACATTTGAAATCACAATCACATCGTAATATTTAAACCTGCTTTCATGCAGCCGCTGATCCAGAGAGAGCAGCGCTCATCAAGCTTTATGTTTGAAACAGCTTCACAAACAGTCAGTTACAGGGTACACAGTAGGTTACATTTCTGTGTTGCAAACATTAAATACTAATAACGAAAGTATTGGGATAAAAGTTTATAGTCCGGATATAGCTGATGTTGCAGCAGCCGCGTTCAAAATGAGAAACTGACCTTTGGAACTCATGTTACACTTCAAATAAAGATTGTAGGCCTATATGTTACATTATGCCAGTAGGTAGCGTCCAGTGACTGTTAAAATGCATTTGATGTCTAATTCATTCAATCAAGAGATTCATTCAAAAACGATCGAATCAAGTTCATTCATTTATTTCAATATTTTTTTTACATATTTTTATTTTTAATAGGCTCATTTATAACATTTTAGACTCATTTATAACATTAAATAAAAAATGTTGTAAGAAACCTAAGTGAATTAGCCTATATATTATTTTGTCTAATGTTTTGTTTTCAGAATCGTGGGAGAACAGTGATCTCTATTCTAAAAATCAATTATCCAGAGTCAAAACCCCCCCCCCCCTTTTTTTGGTACGTTCCGCGATCCATGTTTCAAGGACTTCTGGGAGACTGGAGTGTGGGGGTTGCAGTAACAGGAAAAGGACTTAAAAAGCTGGACTTGGTTCTTTCCTGAATTTGCTGGATTTTATGAATAATTGCAGCTCTTTGTTTGTTTAATCCAATATAAATTCATGTTCCAGGTCAAGTGTTTTTAACAACCCAGGCCCATAGGAAATATGTGCTTGTTCAGAATTTAAATGTCCGATGAGTGTCACTAAAAGGTTAATGCTCTGTTTTCGTGTTGGAAAATAGTAAAACCAGATAGTGTCAAGGAATGTTAAAATGGTTTTATAGTCATAACTTAATAATGTGCAAGGAATTGTGCAAAAATTAGGCTTTCTTAAAGGTGTAATAGGTGATTGTCTTCAGAAACATTTTTTGTTATGCTGGTTGAAAGTCTCATCACATCCCGATAGCAATCATTAAGTTAAGTGTAATTATCTGTATTTACAGTGGGTACGGAAAGTATTCAGACCCCCTTACATTTTTCACTCTTTGTTATATTGCAGCCATTTGCTAAAATCATTTAAGTTATTTTTTTTTCCTCATTAATGTACACACAGCACCCCATATTGACAGAAAAACACAGAATTGTTGACATTTTTGCAGATTTATTAAAAAAGAAAAACTGAAATATCACATGGTCCTAAGTATTCAGACCCTTTGCTGTGACACTCATATATTTAACTCAGGTGCTGTCCATTTCTTCTGATCATCCTTGAGATGGTTCTACACCTTCATTTGAGTCCAGCTGTGTTTGATTATACTGATTGGACTTGATTAAGAAAGCCACACACCTGTCTATATAAGACCTTACAGCTCACAGTGCATGTCAGAGCAAATGAGAATCATGAGGTCAAAGGAACTGCCTGAAGAGCTCAGAGACAGAATTGTGGCAAGGCACAGATCTGGCCAAGGTTACAAAAAAAATTCTGCTGCACTTAAGGTTCCTAAGAGCACAAGGTGCCTCCATAATCCTTAAATGGAAGACATTTGGGACGACCAGAACCCTTCCAATCGAGGGAAAGATGAATGCGGCCAAGTACAGGGATATCCTG